GGGTCACCCAAAAGGATCCATGCCAGTATCAACTCAACTGCAGGACTGGGATGGCTGAGCCTCCCTACCACACAAACCCTTCCAAGAACATAAAGTAAGATCCTCGGTGCTGAAACTACAAAGCCTGGGCCCCACTCTGGGTGATACCAATAGGAGGGCGATGACTCTGCCTTTGCCATTTTCCCCGTTTGGGTTGGCGGGGTGACCAGTCGCTGCTTACCTGGCATGCACCGAAGCCCCTCCCGTTAAGCTCTTTACCTTCATGCATTTCTTGTGCAACCCATCTACTGCGGATTATCCTTTCTTCTCTGCTAAGGACCCCAATTCACCCCTATAAAGGGGTGGGGGCAACTGAGTGCCCACAAAGCGTGGTCCAGAAGGATTAATCGGGTCCTTCTTAACAGAAAGGATAACCATGCTCCCCCCCACACACACAGTTGCTTTGTGGTCACCCAGATTCACCCCTCTGAAGGGAGAGGGCAGAACCTTAGTACCCACAAATCAAGGGGGGGGGCATGGTTATCCTTTCTTCTCTGCTAAGAACCCAGATTCACCCTTTTGAAGAGGCGGAGGGGGAGGCTTTCTTACCCACAAAGCAACGGGGGGGGGGAGGGTAGTTATCCTTTCTCTCTGCTAAGGACCCCAATTCACACACACACACACACCCCGGCCTCTAGAAGGGGAGGGCACCACAGTGACCACAAAGGAGGAGGAGGGGGGCACCTTAACCCTTTTCTGGCCGTCTCTAGAGCACCCTCTCTCTTCCCAGGCTGCGGCTGAAAGGCCGGAGATCTTTCCAGCCAGCAGAGCGGAGGGTGGGTGGGTGGGTGGGGGCTGATCTCGGCCTGGCAAGGATCCACTCGCCCTTTCCTGCGGGGTGGGGGGGGGGGGGGGGGGGGGGGGGGTCCTGGCGCCGGCTCCAGCCGGCCGCGGCAGCAGCAGCGCCCCTGGAAGGCGTGGCTGGCGATGTCCGCTCCCGCCGCTCCTCGCGGCGGCGGCGGCGCCCCCTCCTCCCTTCCTTTCCCTCCCGCCGGGCCTGCGTCTTCTGCTCCAGCCCGCGCGGCCCCCCCCCCCTTCTCTCTCTCTCTCTCCTCCATCGGCGGCGCGCGGCGGGCACGCGCACCTGGATGACCTCGTTGACCTCTCGGATGCACTCCACCATGTGCTGCAGGATCTGCTCGGCCGTCAGCACCTCGTAGCGGTAATCCTCCTCCTGCTCGTGGCCCAGGCCGCCGCCTCCGCCTCCAGAGCCCGGCCCGCCTAGCCCGCTGCCGCCCAGGCCTCCTCCTCCTCCGCCGCCGCCACCACCGGGCCCCAGGCCGCCCGTCTCGCCGCACAGCAGCCCGTCGCGCTCGCCGCCCACGCCCAGCCCGGGCTCGACCAGCTCCACTTCGCCCAGGTCGAGGTTGTCGTCGGGCTCGTCGTCGTCCTCGTCGTCGGGCTCGTCGTCGTCCTCCTCCTCGGCGCCGCTGTCCTCGCTGCACTCCTCGTCCTCGTCGAACTCATAGTTGTAGCCTTCGTCCGAGTCCATGGCGGCGGCGGCGGCGGCGGAGGAGGAGGCGGGAGGGCGAGCGAGGGAAGGGAAGGGAGGGAGGGCGCGCGCGCGAACGCGCGGACGGGGCGGGGGGGGTGGAGAAGAGCCGGAGCACGCGAGGCGGCGAGACGGGCCCGCGAGCGGGGCGGCGCCTCCTCTCCTCCCGCCCCCCACCACCACCCGACCGGGGATCCGAAGGCTTCTTCGGCCTTGCACCGCCTCCTTTCCTTTCGGCGGACCGATCGCCACAGCCCGCCCGCCCGCCCGTCGCCGCCGCCGCCGCTCCCGCTCCTCACAGGCGCCGCTGAGCCAACAAAGGGACGCGTCCGGCCCGCTCCGTCACCTCGACGCACGCCAGCACGCACGCACGCACGCACGCACGACGGGACGCGACGAGCGCCGCGCGGCGAAGGGCGGGGTCAGCGACGCGCCCCGCCTTCTTTTTTTTTTTTTCCCTTCTCCCTCCCTCCCTCCCCCAGCCGGCTCTCTCCGCTAGGCCTCAGGCAAGTGGGCGGGGTCCCACGTCCATCTTGAGCGTGGCTTGGAGGGAATTCGTCACGCGGGGGAGCCATCTTGGGAGGGTGCGCGCGCGCCTGCCTTTGCTCGCCAAGGGAGGGGGGGAAATAGACAGGAAAGGCGGCCGCCATCTTGGGTGTGGCTAACGCTGTTAAGGGGGCGTGGGGGGGTGGCGGATGGGTTTCCTCATGATACCTGCAGCTTAAACGCGGAGCCGGCTTGGCATGGCAAATTCTGTGGCTGGATTCGGCCCTGCTGCCTTTCTGACCTGAATTCTGCCTTGCAAAGCTGATCAAGCTGGATTTTGGAGTAATCAGGGGCAACTGTGTGGCTTCACCCGTGAACCCAGAACATGGGGCTAAATAAACCATGGTACAGATACAGATAATGAGAGTTGGGACCTTATTGGTCATCTAGTGCAACCCCCCACCCATGGTTAAGCATCCTGGACAAATCCTAGTCTGGTTTGCTTCACATACTCTCTTTCTCTAATTCTCTCTCACTCACTTATTCCTAGAGTCATTTTGCAGTTTTTAATCTTTTAAAGGGGCATTTGAAATACGGATTTACAGGCGGCTGTTACATATAAGCTGGGTTGACAAAATCAGAAACGAGGGGATAAGCCGCTTGGAAAAGCTGAGGGAAATCATCCAAACCATAAAAAAGCGAAAGTTAGAATATTTTGGATATGGGATGCAACACCCAGGAAAAATACGGCATCGTTCACTTCACCCTCTAAGGAAAGATTGAAGGCAAAGGAAGGTCAGGCAGAAGAAGAACATTGTGGCTTCAAAATCTAAGGGATCGGTTTGGACAAAACTCAGCAGCACTTTTTTGTGTGGCTGTTGATAAAAATAGGATCGCCAACATGATCGCCAATGTCCAATAATGGATGATGGAGGAGGAGGAGGAGGAGGAGGAGGAGGAGGAGGAGGAAGAAGAAGAAGAAGAAGAAGAAGAAGAAGAAGAAGAAGAAGAAGA